TGCGTAATATACGCCAAATAGTTTAGAAATACACACATCAGCGACAAAATGGTAATTCTTATAGAAACGATCAGATTATGATATTTAGAATAGATATGTGGATTTATCTGTGATAAATCAGTGTATTGAAATGTGATATGGTATCATAGATATATACGGAAAAGTGTCATTTTGCACAAATAAATCATTTCAACAAAAAGAGCTTCAACATTTATCAGAAAAAAAGTACATTTTCGAGTCATCTGCATCTATTGCGTGCATATATGGCGTCAAGATTCATCATCTGGCAAGAGTACCGGACATCATGATCACGTGTCTGACTACCATGTCATAAGTCACGTGTTAAAAAGAGATCATATTGTGGGTTCTGGTCTGTCTCTCCTAATGAACGACTCAAATTCATTGAAAAGATATTTTGTTTCGGAAGAAGCTGGCACGTGTTAGGAAATAATTATGTTGTTTTTGAAAATCACTTTTGTGTTATGTTATATGAGTGCGCTGTTTTCGTTTACGTAGTGTGTGGAATTCTGTATTGTTATTTGATTTGAGAAGATCTCTCTGACAGGAAAATGACACGTTCTGCATTGTGTGTTGTTCCTAATCAGACTAGATTATAATCAGGGGATGACCATAATATGAAATATTTGACTATTAATCGCACTCATACTGTTTTCTTTTAATGGTGACGCAAATTTCAAAACGCAGTATAGTTAATCCTATTTTAATCATTAGAGATATTAACAAGCAAACCGCTATAATTTAATGCGACTTTGTGTATAATTTCAGAAGATGTCGATCTCCTTGCTAAATGCTTCGTGACGTCAGTAATATTAAAAACAGTTGACCTTTAGGGTTCAATCTATTGTCCCTAATGTCAGGGTAACGTTGATGATGACGGTGAATTGACTATCATGTTTAGACTTCATATCTTCAATTCCAAACAATTTTATTTGTCCTTTAGTGATAAATACATTTGACAAAAGAATTGAACAAACAAGTTTTCTCATAACAAAGCAAAGGACAAGACACCTGTAACATAGTCACCAGACAAATATAGTTACATACGTAATTAACAGCGTTGTACCTGAATAGGAAAATTCTCTTTCTAGGCATGTGCGGTGAGCTCTAATACACAGGTATTTGAGTTCTAACGTGTCCTTCAACCTACAATGAATTACGACATACAGATTGTGAGGATGATGGCGGGAAATGGAGACAAAGCTTATACACCATTGTATAGGTTGTAAATGTTTAATATTGGGATTCAATAACATGAATATAAATATCAGGTGGAATAAATCCTAGAAAAATAAAATATTTATCAAAATTCCAACCTTTGTTTCTGAATATCGACTAAATGATACCATCATGTATCTACATATACTTCACACGTGATACGTTTTATATGCTGTAGTTTAGCCTCATATACTGTGGTATAAGTTTCATCTCTAAAACGTGACATGGCCAACAAATGTGTCACGTGACCATCGCTCTGTGTCATTGTGACATTTACGTTTAAAGATATTAATTATTTTTAAACACTAATAAATTGTTTGAGGCCTAACTGCAATCTGCGTCGTTCCATTTACACTTCTATAGAGATTTGTTATCTTAAGATAAATCATATTTATCAGTCTCGTTTACATATTCGCTTGATTTTCTGTACAGTTGGTGTATATATTTCGTTAATCATTGATATCATCAGATAAACACTGCTGTGTTCATGTCTTTCATCAACTTTGCAAATCTGGAAATATCATTGTTTTAAATGCAGTATGATTAATTTATAACTAAGCATAAATACGTCAAACATGTTAATCCATGAAAATTCATGAGAAGAGAGGACATCAGGCTCAGAGAAACCAGAAACATCAGGTCCTGAGAAATTAGTAACATCAGGCTCAGAGAAACCAGTAACATCAGGCTCAGAGAAAACAATAACATTAGGCTCTGAGAAACCAGTAACATCAGGCTAAGAGAAACCAGTAACATCAGGCTCAGAGAAACCAGTAACATCAGGCTCAGTGAAACCAGTAACATCAGGTCCTGAGAAATTAGTAACATCAGGCTCAGAGAAACCAGTAACATCAGGCTAAGAGAAACCAGTAACATCAGGCTCAGTGAAACCAGTAACATCAGGTCCTGAGAAACCAGTAACATCAGGCTCAGTGAAACCAGTAACATCAGGCTCAGAGAAACCAATAACATCAGGCTCATAGTAACCAGTAACATCAGGCTCAGAGAAACCAATAACATCAGGCTCAGAGTAACCAGTAACATCAGGCTCAGAGAAACCAGTAACATCAGGCTCAGAGTAACCAGTAACATCAGGCTCAGAGAAACCAGTAACATCAGGCTCAGAGTAACCAGTAACATCAGGTCCTGAGAAACCAGTACCATCAGGTCCTGAGAAACCAGTACCATCAGTCCCTGAGAAACCAGTAACATCAGGCTCAGAGAAACCAGTACCATCAGGCTCAGAGAAACCAGCAACAACAGGCTCAGAGAAACCAGTTACAACAGGCTCAGAGAAACAAGTAACATCAGGCTAAGAGAAACCAGTAACATCAGGCTCAGTGAAACCAGTAACATCAGGTCCTGAGAAATTAGTAACATCAGGCTCAGAGAAACCAGTAACATCAGGCTAAGAGAAACCAGTAACATCAGGTCCTGAGAAACCAGTAACATCAGGCTCAGAGAAACCAGTAACATCAGGCTCAGTGAAACCAGTAACATCAGGCTCAGAGAAACCAATAACATCAGGCTCATAGTAACCAGTAACATCAGGCTCAGAGAAACCAATAACATCAGGCTCAGAGTAACCAGTAACATCAGGCTCAGAGAAACCAGTAACATCAGGCTCAGAGAAACCAGTAACAACAGGCTCAGAGAAACCAGTACCATCAGGCTCAGAAAAACCAGTAACATCAGGTCCTGAGAAACCAGTACCATCAGGTCCTGAGAAACCAGTACCATCAGTCCCTGAGAAACCAGTAACATCAGGCTCAGAGAAACCAGTACCATCAGGCTCAGAGAAACCAGCAACAACAGGCTCAGAGAAACCAGTAACATCAGGCTCAGAGAAACCAGTACCATCAGGCTCAGAGAAACCAGCAACAACAGGCTCATAGAAACCAGTAACAACAGGCTCAGAGAAACCAGTAACAACAGGCTCGGAGAAACCAGTACCATCAGGTCCTGAGAAACCGGTAGCATCAGGCTCAGAGAAAACAGTAATATTACACTCACAGTAACATACAGTCACGAGAGATCAGTAACATTAGGCCATGAGAAACCAGTAACATTAGGCCATGAGAGGCCAGTAACATTAGGCCATGAGAGGCCAGTAACATTAGGCCATGAGAGACCAGTAACATTAGGCCATGAGAGGCCAGTAACATTAGGCCATGAGAGACCAGTAACATTAGGCCATGAGAGGCCAGTAACATTAGGCCATGAGAGGCCAGTAACATTAGGCCATGAGAGGCCAGTAACATTAGGCCATGAGAGGCCAGTAACATTAGGCCATGAGAGGCCAGTAACATTAGGCCATGAGAGGCCAGTAACATTAGGCCATGAGAGGCCAGTAAAATTAGGCCATGAGAGGCCAGTAACATTAGGCCATGAGAGACCAGTAACATAATTCCATGAGAGACCACTAACATTAGGCCTTGAGAATTCAGTACCAATAGACCACGACAGTCAAGGAGCATTATGCCATGACAGACCAGTGACATCAGAGGAGAGTGGTTAGCTAATCAAGAGATCCGACTATTATTAGACTATGAGAATCCAGTACCGATAAACTACGCGAGTCATGTAGCATTAGACTATGACCGTCAGTAAGCAATGAGAACTTAAAACTTCATTAACACTTTTGTTGTTAAAGAGAGCAACATATATTTCAACTGATTTCTGGTCGCGAAATTAAGATGACAATGCGTATTAACATTAAATGTACATAGTATAGTATAAGATTTATAAGACTTTCGTTTGCCTGTTTTTTTCCTATGGTGAAATCCTGTTGAAGCATACTCATTAAAGATGAATCTCTGGAATTACTGTAACGATACATACAAGGTGTGACTGTCATGTTTTTATCTAATGACAACCACAATTACCTAAATAGCTCATGTCACTACGCCGAGAAACAGACATTAAACATAACACAATTTATGACACTCTTTGATGTTCCTGAAGCTTGCTTGTCCTTTTTCTGTGTCAGAGTGGTTGAATATGACTTCAAATGCGTCTAGATGTTGCGCTATAAAATAACTTCAGGGAAAATATATAAGCTTATAATTATGATCAAAATTCCCCTCCAAATAGATCTTTTCGATTATGTTGGTAATCAGTGAATAATACACAGAGTATGATTCAAATGTATAATCAAACAAATAATTATCAAAACTATGCCAGCATTTCTTGCGTCTGATAATCGTTGACGATAACTAAAAATGCAAATGTTCGAGAAGAGTAGTCAGATGTCGAACTGACTAACAATTATGTCAGCTATGTGAAGATTTAGAAGAATGTTGTCAGCTCGTTATGGCTAATGCCCCTGTCAAAGCAAACCTTAAATGTCAGATATGAACAGGAGACGCAGACATGCTTTGTAGAAACAAATCATATTCAAGCAGGTCGTTTTTAACATGCAGCTTCTGTCGACTAACTACATCAGATGTTTTATTAATATGGGCAGATAAGAATGAATACATCCACAAACTAGAAATATATTAACCACGCCCTATCTTATTCTATAAAGTTCATATTTAATTAGTTATATGTTTGTTTGCGGAATGGACATGCTTTATATAAGTATCAACAAATGATTTTGTTGTTCAAACTGAAAAGTCCTACCTAGCTACAAAAGCCACGCTGCTCTGATATAATTCTCACAGGTGAGGTACTGGGCGTAAAATACAAGGCTTAGGTGTGCGGTATTTGGCGTGAAGTGCCGGACAATTGGTGACGGGCGTGAAGTTACGGTTGTGAGACGCCTAGGTGGAGTTGCCGGGCGTGTGGTGCCGGACGTGAGATGACCGGCTTAAGTTGTAATGCGTGAGGATCCGGGCGTGAGGTGCCTGACATGGAGTTTCGAACGTGAGGTTCCAGACGTGAAGTGCCGGGCATGAGGTGTCGGACACGAAGTTCCGGACGTGAGGTTCCAGACGTGAAGTGCCGGGCGTGAGGTGTCGGACACGAAGTTCCGGACGTGAGGTTCCAGACGTGAAGTGCCGGGCGTGAGGTGTCGGACACGAAGTTCCGCACGTGAGGTTCCAGACGTAAAGTGCCGGGCGTGAGGTGTCAGACACGAAGTTCCGGACGTGAAGTGCCGGGCGTGAGGTGTCGGACACGAAGTTCCGGACGTGAGGTTCCAGACGTGAAGTGCCGGGCGTGAGGTGTCGGACATGAAGTTCCGGACGTGAGGTCCAAGACGTGAAGTGCCGGGCGTGAGGTGTCGGACATGTAGTTCCGGACGTTACCGGGCGTGTGGTGCTGGGCGTGAGGTTGCGGACGTGAGATGCCGGACTTAAATTGCTATGCGTGAGGATCCGGGCATGAGGTGCCGGCCATGAAGTGCCGGGCATGTCGAGTGGTGACGGGCGTGAGCTTGTAGGACCCCTAGATAGAGTTGCATGGCGTGTGGTGCTGGGCGTGAAGTTGAGGACGTAATATGTCCGGCTTTAGTTGCCATGCATCAGGAGCCGGGCGTGAAGTGCCGACATGAAGTTACGGACGCAGGGTTCCAAACGTGAAGTGCCGAGCGTGAGATGTTTAAAACTCAGTTGCCGACGTGAGATGCATGGCGGGAGGTGCTGGGACACAGGTGCCGGGTGTGAGATACATGGGTATAGTTGCCGGACAAAGAGGTGCTTAGCGGGAGGCGCCGGGCGTGTGGTGCCGCTCGTGAGATACCTGGATTTACTTGCCGGACGTGATTTGCCGGGCATGGGAATGATAGAATAGCAGGTATCAATAAGAAGTAAAGATACGAAAGCTACCTAGATGGTGCAATGATATCACTAGTTATATGATGAGATTTACTGTAACCGTCAATAGAAGGACACATGTAACCGAGTAAAAACAGGGCAAATATTAGTATCTCCAATCCAGGGATGATGCCTTCAGATCAATCAGGTCATGTATACACTATCATAAAATCAAATTAGAGACGTTACTTGCCCAAATAGCTCGGCGTATGACTTCTTCAATCGTCACGATACCGGGAGAGGCGACTAATGTGTCACCCACTAAAATATTAACGGCTCGTCTGGGATTGCTCTTATTGAAACGCTTTATCATTCCCTGTCTTCCTCTAATCTCCTTATTATTTTTTTTCTTCATTTTGTTAAATACTTGATAGTGCCTATCTAGACTCTGTCAGTTACACTGAAATACACATTCATATTTTGTCCTTTAAGCAGGTGCTGTCCTTAATTAATTACAATAACGTGATACACGACAGGGAACGTGAAGCAAGTGCAATTAAGTACAACCTAACAGGATCCTGATATGACGCTGATTGTTAGGAGAATGTTCAAAAACCAACAAATGCACTTTGTATATACCTCGGATGAAAAAAGCGAAACTAAATGAAAAAATGAAATGAAATAAAAATGTACACTTTGATTGAAATTGTATCAGATAGATAGAATAGTTATCCAGTTCTATCATGCATACTATACTTGTTCACGTAACAAGCTTTGACAATTCTATCAAAAACGAAAAGATGTTTCAATGACGTCAAACAAAAACTCAGGTATAACATAGGTTATGAGTTCAAGGTGAAGCGGGCAACGCTTGACAAATCATATACACCTAGTTAGATTCAGGTGAGTAGGTAACCACAGGTAGCGAGATACTTAATTAGCATGATAAGATATAACTCTCATTAATTATAAAACCAGACATAATGTACTTATATAACATTGTAATAATTATAAACCAGACATAATGTATATGTATAACATTGTAATAATTATAAACCAGACATAATGTACTTATATAACATTGTAATAATTATAAAACCAGACATAATGTACATGTATAACATTGTAATAATTATAAAACCAGACATAATGTACATGTATAACATTGTAGTAATTATAAAACCAGATACAATGTACATGTATAACATTGTAATAATTATAAAACCAGACACAATGTACGTGTATAACATTGTAATAATTATAAAACCAGACACAATGTACGTGTATAACATTGTAATAATTATAAAACCAGATACAATGTACTTGTAAAGCATTATGATAATTATAAGACATGTTGTATTGTTGACAATATATGTTTATTTTTCTGCTATCGGATTAAGTCACAATCGTTGGTAACTTGGCTAGGATCTATAAGTCTGTCTTTAGAATACTTCCGTTGAAGGTGTTGATAAGATGTACCTTTTGTGACAATTTTAAACACTTGATGTCTCGTTTCCGATTGTTTATGATAATATGATATTAGAATGTATATTTACAGTATTCCACTCTCTTTATTAGATACATTAAACTACAGTGCAAGTACACTTCCCCGTCTACATTATAACATTTAATTTCTGTAAATAGATTCCAACATGTCGGGCCCCTAGCATTACCGACAAGGTATAGTTGTCAGAAGTTGTTAAAATCATGAAGTCCGTTCGTATTTTACTCAAAATTTTAATGGAAGGTACTATTTTCTTGTATGTTTGAAGATAATGACCTTTTACAAACTTTCATTATCTTTTTGTAATATTTGTAAATCAAATGAAGACGTTGTGCTCTCACTTTCTTTACAAATTACAAACTTTCTGAATCTTGCTTTATCAAAACTAGCATAGAGTTGGTATAGATACTTCCCGTGGGATAAAACACAAGCAATATTCATTCGCATACTTTCCCCGTGTTTTGTTGTATCATTGCATTTATATAAATACAGGTATACTATTAAAATATTTTCCTTTGCTGTTTTATGGTATTCACAGAAAACATCCGTGGCATTTCAAAGACTTTTTCACAACATTTTTGAAGGGAAAAAAAGAAACACATAATTTACACGCTTTTGTTTTCAATTTCTGTCTTGAAATTCGAAGGATATGTAGACCCTGAGAGGAAGCCGGTACCACTACAATATTTGAAGTCCGGATAAAATGCGGCAATGTGCCCGGTAATTATAGTGAACTAAATCTTATCGACCTGTCTCGTGTTTTGTGTTAGCTTCCTATGTTGTTAATCAATTCCGGTAAATATCTGGAAATAAATTCCGGACAGATTCGGCTTTAATCATTAGATCATGCTTACGTAGAAACATGTGCGACTTTCAAATGTCAAAACAAACATATGCATTACTTCAACTAGAAATTTAGGTCCAGTAATGCATAAAAATCACCTGTGTATGGTTTAGTTGAAACAGTTGTTAAAGTGATACTATTAACCAATTAAAGAATCACTCAAGTCTGAGATTTTGAAAGTATTTTCCTATCGGGTGTTCTTGTCTTACCTAATTGTTCATACTGACTATTGGCCAATACCTAAAATACATTCAATGTAAACCCAAAACCTTCACCAATCCCAAAAATTCAAGGTGTTAGCAGACTTGTTCCTTTTAATGTAGGTTCTTACGGACTTTTTAAAGAGGAGCAATAGAAAGCCAAAATTAAAATGCGACTATGTGGATTTTTTTCTTTCATGTTTTATCATCTTATCATCAAGATTTTGTAAACATAAGGATATGGCAACCCAGTAAGATAATGAAACCCAAATGAAGTAAATGAAGGATATTTAAAAATAATAATGATACAATTCCAATTTGTTGTAATTAACATAATTTTTGTGTTGGTATATTGATTAGGATGTCATTCAATAACTTCATTACATATCGGTCAGCATGTTTTCGTTACTTCAACATGAATCGCCCCTACAACATCGAATGAGAACACGATATAATAGCTACTCTCCAACTTTTCTCGTTCATTTCACGGATCTTTGAAATCGGATTTAACAATAAAAATTTCATACAGTTTATATTATATATTTTTTAGAGTGAGTAAATAACTTGACCGATAACAAAAACAAACAAACAAATAACAATAACAATCCTGTTTATCTACATTATTCTGTCCAGCTACATAGACAAAAAGTACTTTCAGTATCTCTTATCAATATACTTCACTTCCAAATCCAATATTACGCAGAGGAAACACAAGTGAATGCCATCTTTCAGTATAAATCTAGAGTGAGAAACAGTGGAGTAAAAACAATGAATTAAACTGCATCAATGATGCTGGGGACCTTAAAGTTACAACCTAGGAGGCGACCGTGTAAAATTCAATGATCGAGAAAAAAACTAAAAATCTAGATGTGAAGTTATAACGTGTCTACTTGTGAATAGAATAAGATGTGGAATATTTATCTAGATGTTTATCTACCCGCTCTCCTCTGTATTAACAAACGTTAAATCTAACTGGGCAATCTTATAACCTTACAAAACCATTCGTGAAGAAAATGGTACAGTATCGTCACTCTGAGGCGACCTTTTGCTGTCCGACCGACTAAATGTTGACCCATTGAAAAAAAAAACGACGTGTGGGTTTCCCATTAAACCCGCCTTGTACAAATATTAGTGTCAGCAACTTTATCGTGATTGATGTAGGTATCAGTTATAGGTTAAGTGTACAGTGGACTTCAAGCCTGTGTAATCATTCTACTGATACCTATATCAATCACACTTCACCTAGGTCTGGTTACCATTAATATCAACAATTAAAAAACGTATCCTCATGAGCTGTCATTTTCATGTTGAATTACAGATATTTTATTATCATACTATGTATATCCTAGCACTTGGATAATACTTTGGTTTTATTGTTTTCGGAATTTCGGTATTTGTCCTTTTCCCCCCAAGAAGTGGGTTGTACTAGCTAATCTAACTGTAAGCGCCCCTCCCCCACGTATATGTATTTGATACAAGCTGGCAGACGTACAACAACCGTACAACCATGACCTACTAATGATGATATAAACTTGCCAGAAAATTAAGCAGTTGTTTGGTAAACTGATTTAAATGTGTATTTTCTCTTTTCCTTTTCGGTTTGAATTTTTTTATCTCCAAGTTTGATTTGATTTCACTTTTTTATGTACGTTGCATCCTTTCAAAAAAAACAACAACTCATTACAACTATAGCCTTTATCTAACTTGGATTGACCTGGGTTACCCTTACTGGTGTTGTCGATGAAGCATCAAACGTTTACTCTTACGGAACACCTGGACATTTTCTTCCTGTATCTATAAATACAATGTCAAAATTTTGCTCTCGTTTCATCAATTGAGATTGATTTTCGTAAACAGAATCTGATTAAGGTTCTGTTAACGACCAACATATTGCTAGCGATTAATCCAGAGCCTTGAAATTAATTACGACCAATACATAGCCGTTCTTGATACAAACATTTAAACTTTTTTAAAAGAAACTTAGAAATGAAAGCAGGACCGATCTGCAATGTGAAATAAGCAGGAGGCTTTGTCTTTCACACGCATTTAACATCTTCTGAAGTCCTGAGAGTTCCATTGTTTTTATCGATGCTATCGCGATCTCCAATAC